TCACTTAGCCTTCCTTTTTTTTTAGTTAGGCAGATTATAGACTGAACTTCTCCAGTGCTCCTTGGATCTTTGCTCTCTGATCTTCTAGTTGCCGCCTATCTGGCTTCAAAAATGCTCGCAAACGAAGACAAGTACGAATTGGCAAGCAGCAGCCCTGGGTGGCAAATCGGAAGCGAGGAAGCGTTGCAAGCCACAGTCCAATGATTCAGAACACTGAAGGAGCTGCTCTTATCGGCCATCAGAAGAGTCGCGGTGGTGTAGGTGGTGTTGGGGTCACATCGGCCCGAGATTTACACTCTCCCAACAGCTCCCGCCCGGGCTCCCCTCTGTCGGCCAACAACCCTACCTCGAATACCTTTGCCTTCCCGCCTGGAGAGCATAACACTGCCGGCTCTGAGGCCGTCGCCACACCTGACGGGCCTATCACATCGGTGGATGCGACGATGATGGCCGAAGCATTCCGGAAGGCGCTTCGGAAACCTGAGTTCTCTCTACCCGAAAACGTCCCTGGTGATGCCCGCTCCTCCTCCAGCCAACGCGAACGAACCAAGAGTCCTCCGAACACCGATCCCACTAATCCCGACTCATCCGCCCCTAACGCCCTTCTCAACGTCAGAGAAAGCATGCACGCTCAGGTTCTTGATGGTGACGATCTCCCTGACCTTGAAGACCAGGACGGTGAAGAGGCTAAGGAAATCATGGACCGCGAACTCGCTAGTGAAGGCCGTAGTATGACCTCGGTCGACAACCGAAAACGGCCCCAGGTTCATGGTTAACCCTTCTTTTTGTCCACCCCTCGCCCCTTCTCTTTCTCAGTCGCCTCTATAACCGCTTCTCTATCCCTTCCCGCGCCACTCAATACTAATATATCAATCCTAACAAATAATATCCTTCATCATCAAATATCATCAACATCGTCATCCATCGTCTTGAAATCGAGAATTCCAAAAAGATATAACGACAATAATTTCATTTCTTCCTTTTACGTTTAATATATATACATATATATATCATCTCAACATACTTCTTTATTTTGTATATGAGAGCCCGAGACGGGGAGGGAAGAGAAAGTGAAGATGAAGATTTTCGCAATCGAGACACAGATTGCCGCCCCTACATAACCTCACATATTTTATTCGTTCACATGGTTGGTCCTATCGTGCACGAGGAAACGATATCGACGATCGGCTGTCTCCTCTTCTCCCCCTTTTTTTGGAACCTGTGTTGCCCTCCTATTCGCCTCTCGTGCTGCCTTTTCTCCCCGCTCGTCTCCGGACCCACTCCCTCGCTTCTCCGCTCTTGTCTCTCTATTTACATTCATCGATCTGCCGTCTCGTCTCTTTTTTGTCTTCATACTCTCATATATCTCATACCCCGATTTGTTTGTTCTTAGTTCTATTTATCATCCACATATATTCATATATCTATATCTCTTTCCTCATATCATATCTTATTCGATTTAACACCTTCCCCCCACACACCTCCCCTCTGCGCTTTCTCTCTGCTTCATCTCCTCTCTCACTCTTCTTTATTGTTGGGTCTTTGTTGGTGATTGTCTTGTTTATAAGTTTTGTTTTTGTGTTTGTGTTGTTTTTTGAATCAATACGAAGAAACATTTGTTTTCCCCCCCCCCATTCTTTTTTTTTTTTCCTTCGTCTGTTTTTCTTATTTTGTTTTGTTGATTAGTTGATAATAATGATTATCGTGATTCCCCCCCCCCCTTTTTTAACCAAAAAAAATCTTTGTTTTTCGGGGATGAGGTGTGTATGGTTCCCTGGCCCGTTCCTCTTCCTCGGCCCGCCGACCCACACACACACGATCTCATCCAGACGGATACCCACATTTCCCTCTGATCTTTTATCACATCACTACACTCTCCTTAATACACACACTCTCTCTTTCACTTTTCTCCTTCGCCTACACTCTCTTCTTAATTCTTCTTCTTCTTTGCTCACTTTATGTTAGCGCGATCATCCTTATTGGCCGGAATACACTCTGGGTCTTGATCATTCTATCTCTCTATCTATCTTCTCTTTCCGCTTAGATATCTTTCTATCTTTCTATCTATATCTCTTGTGTCAAACTTTTTTTTTCCTGTTTTTTTTTTTTTTTGGCTTGAGTTCTTCATTATAATACTGGGGATGTTTTTTTTTTTTTTTTTTTGAGGTTTTTGTGGAGTACATACAGCAGTTCCCAGAAAGCTTGCGTTCGCGAGCTCCTGGGGTCCCAACTTTTTTTTTTATTTTTGCCACACTTTTATGCGCCTCGGAACCTGTACACATGACTGTACAGGTTGCAAATCTGCTGCCGAGGCCTCTATGGGGCTCTCGGTACCGGGCTGTTGCCTGGCAAGGGCTGGCGAGGTGTTGATGTGATGAGCGCTTCTGACTCAAAAAACTCCCAGGATTCCAACGGTCCAACTCTCAAATCTTCAACTTGGAAAATGTGGGAGTTGGGCCGTAATGCCCAGAATACTTTGGCTGTATGAGCCAACGTACAGGACAAAAAATAAAAGAAAAAGTGTGGCTCAAAAAAAAAAAACCTGGATCCCAGGGGCTCGCGACAGCAAGCTTTCTGTATGGCACCTGACTAAGGTACTAAGGGAAGGTGCCGGGGTCCATGTGCGCGGATAAGATTGGTTTTGGACAGGCACAAAATAGCCCTGGTCTAGTCCAAAACAAACCCGGCTATTTTTGTGCCTGAAGCAAAGTTTTCTCCACACCTTTTAATGTTCCCATTTCAAAGATTCGACACAACTTTCCTTCATCCGCAAAAACCAAATCTTATCTCTCATTCTCAACTCTCTACAAACTTTACCTAATTTATCTTTATAAATTTTCTCTATCTCTCTCGTTATAACACCAGTCCTCTCACTTTAAAACACACACCAACACATCAATATGGTCGACGCCAACAATACCAGAGCAACTTCAAAGAAGATCAAAGATTCGGCATCCTCAAAAAACAAGAACGACGACATATCAGTAGCGAACGCGCTGATCCCCGCGACACCTGGGATAAATCCTACCGGTTCAATAGCGAGCACCACCCAAGCCCATAGTGGCAGTCCGTTAAACGTCTCCCAAGCCCCTAGTGGCAGTCCTTCGATTGGCACCCAAGCCCTTAGTGGCAGTCCGTTGAATCCTTCAAACAATGGTAACGTGATGCTCAAAGACACCATCCCAAACGGTAAGCCTTTCGAATTCCACTGCAAGGATTCTCTTTAGATAAGGGGGAAACACCCAGAGCGTTGAAATCCGCAATAACAAATTTAATAACATGATAAACATTCTTCTGATATGATAATTAGACTCGAGAGTCAATGACACCACATACTCTTTGTTAGTCGATACGAGCGAGTCACGCAGAGACCGAGCCCCAGTGGCATCACTCCTCCATTTACCAAAAGCGAAGCCTGCAGAAGCGGCCGCAAACGCTGAAGAAGAGGAAACCGAGGAAGACAACTCCCCAGGTTAGAGCAGAGCACACGATTTTTCCCATCTCGTGTAGCAGAACTCATTTCGCAAATTGTTGATGCAATCCCTGATACCGATAACAGACATCGCGACATCCTCCGTTATGACAGAGAGACAAAACATGTGGCAACGAGCGATTGCAGCGCAAGATGCAGGTGATACGTCCCTAGCCGAGATGCTTTTCAACGCAATAGGCCGGATTGGTGCGAGCCAACCCTTGATCCCGGCACAGAAAGCAAAGGCGAACGTTTTCGCAGTACCGACCCGTACACCATCTGGCGCGGTGATATATCAAGAGTCAGCCCCCGTGTTACCACCAAGCGAAACGCCGAATGGCCAGACGCCGGAGAAATTTTTCTTGACAGAGGGAGACCTCGTCTACGCGATCGGATCGGTAACGAACCACAACAGTGTGGGTTTCGCACCGTTCCTAGATGAGAACATTCGCAAGCTCAGATCGCCGTTACCACTCACAATCTTCAATCGTAAGTGGCAACAAAGAGCCATGTCCTATCACCTAGACCGACGTCATAGATCGGACGATTCGTCTGGCGAGAAGGAGAAATCAGGAGGATATAAAGGTTTCGCCTTCGTCCAAGAATGGACACAAACTTACGCTCAGTGGACTCGGAATCACCGAGCCTTTTGCAAGACACTTCATGACGTCTACAAAATAAAGAAGTTTTCGAAGTTACTCGCAACTCACAAGAACAATTGCGATGACATAACTGAAGAGTTTGGCTTCATGGTCGCTTTCCGCTACGATATGGAAGTGAGAAATAACACTTTCTCTCACAGAATCACTGACGAAGACGTAAAGAACGCTATCCCTGATATCTCACAACGGAAAGAATCTGTGGTCGAACAGTGCTACAACGTGAGCAGGAATTTCGGCGAGCTCGAGTGGGAAGAAAATCTGTATGCTCCCGGCTTATCACATTGTAACCACGACCCCTTGACCGGTTATGTCAAAACCTCAAAGGTGAACAACGTCCAGTACAGCGGTTATCAGAATAACGCCATGATACACAACCCAATCTCTCAAGGGCAATGGGTAACTCATTCACACAACAATTACAACAATCACGGCAACACGCAACACGGCTACAGCAACGTCGGTAACTACAACGGTAGCAGAAATATCAGCTCCTACCAAAATAACGGAGGGATCGGTAACCAGAATAACGGAGGGAACGGTAACCAGAACATCGGCAATAATAAGAGGCCCAGAGGAGGTTACCGAGGCGGGAATTACTCAGACAATTTCCAAGGAAGGAACAACGGGAACCAGCAAGGGAAAAAGGGAAACACAAACAAGTAGGCAGAAATCTTTTGTATTTACCAGGAAACGGCTACATCCCCCTGCCGTGCAAGCCCACGAGGCATCTGTCTTTTTCCCCTGCATTTGTGCACAATATGCGTTTATCTTTGCGCTCAGTCTCCGTTTATCTTGAAACGCGATGATCTTGTTTTTGTCCTGACCATTAGGCCCTTTTCTTCACCACCGAGTTCTGCGGAACTAATGTCCCCATATCTATGATAGTTACATGTATTGATTCATCTGTGTTCTTCTGTCTCTCCTCATCTTGATGCATCACAATTTACGGCTGTTTTAAAAAAAAAAAAAAAAAAAAAAAAAAGAGTGGATGTGTCACTTTTGATTTGGCCTTCAGGAGTCAAATGTGAGATGAATATCTCCTTGTGGAGGGTGGCTTTAGAAGGAGCAGGTTTGCTAGAGAAATACCAAGACGTGTTACATGGTTTTGAACATGGTTTCGACCAAGGGATACCAGAACATAGGATCCCCGGCGTGTCATGGTACACACCTAACAACCATCTATCAGCAAGCCTGGCAGTAGACAAAATCTCGTCGTCGATGGAGAAAGAGTTAGAAGCTGGACGAATGTTTGGACCCTTCTCCCACGAAGAAGTAGAACAAAAATTCAGTTTTTTTCGGACAAGCCCTTTAGGAGCAGTCGTGAATGGAGACGGATCCGTCAGGCCCATCAACGATTTATCATACCCACACGACTACCCAGGGATACCGTCAGTTAATTCGTTCGTCGATAAATACGAATTCCAAACGACCTGGGACGATTTCGGTACGGTATCCAAATTTTTTAGATCCTTGAGAGAACCTGTGCAGTTGGCACTATTCGACTGGGAAAAAGCATATAGGCAAATTCCTACTCATCCGTCACAATGGCCTTACTTAATGGTAAAAGGCGTAGACGACAATCTATACCTCGATACAAGAATAACTTTTGGAGGCGTAGCCGGCTGCGGTTCTTTTGGAAGACCAGCAGACGCGTGGAAAGATATAATGGCATCTGAATTCGACCTCATCAAGGTGTTTCGCTGGGTCGACGACAATTTATTCATCAAGAGCCTTTCCTCAGCAACAGACATGGCGAATGTCATTTCCAGGTCTATAGAGCTAGGTGTACTGACCAGCAAACAAAAATGCACCAATTTCTCAGACGAACAAAAATTTATTGGTTTTCTTTGGAATGGGGTATCGAAGACAGTTCGATTACCACAAGAAAAATTAGAAAAACGGAAGGAGCAAATAAATATATTTTTGATAAGAACGCGCAAATTCTCTTTTAATGAAGTGGAAGTCTTGACAGGAAGACTAAACCATGTAACTTACATGTTGCCACAACTCCGATGTTACCTTAGAAGTTTATACCGGTGGCTAATAGACTGGTTTGACCTGGAAGCCAAACGATACACTCCTCCCAACGTCGTGGAAGATTTGACAGTGTGGAAGGAAACTTTAGGAAGTTTCAACCACACCAGGTTGATACCTTGCCAAGAGGCCACGGACATAGGTTGGGTAGGCGACGCATCAACTAGTTTTGGGATAGGGGTGATAATCGGTAAATACTGGAGTCAACTTAAAATCCTTAGACAGCGAGTCGGAAACGCGCCGAAACGTAATATCGCATGGTTGGAAACGATAGCAGTAAGGGTTGGTTTGATTATGCTTCATATGATGGGCCGGATTCGTAAAGGGTCCAACTTATTGGTTTGGACAGATAATACAACTACCAAATCCGTTATAGAAAAAAGGAAATCAGGAGACAAGCATGTAAACGACGAGTGGAAGGCAATACAGAAATTCTTAATCAAAGAAGAAGTAGACCTGACGGCGAAAAGGGTCAAATCAGCCAACAATATAGCCGATAGTCTGTCACGAGGGTCATCGGGCAACCTGAAAAGAGAAAACAGGGTCACGTTCGAGATCCCTGAAGAATGGAAATTGTATCTCTGCCATGCTTAGTAACTTTGTATCCCCGATTGTTGTATATATACTTTTGTTATTATAACGTATCAAATTACCCTCCAGATAGTCGCGATAATTTTTCTGTCTGAATTTTACTCAAATAATTCTTGTTTCAAAATGATGAATTCATCAGAAATGGTAAATTCATCAGAAGATATAGTAGTAATAGATAACGAGCGACTAACAGTCGGGCATTTAAACAAAATAAAAGCTTTCGCAGCAAATGGGACGACTCACTACCCTATTTCTACGCTAAACGCTCATTTATTGAGCGGTTGGAAGTGGAATACTATTCTAGGTTATAATGCTGCAGTTAAAAAGTTCATATTCTTTAAAAACTTATCAGGAAATCACAAATTCAAGTTACCGGCATCGAGGAAAGACATAGAAGATTTTTGTTTTTGGGCGGGTAGAAATTTATATTTAAATAATTCCTATAAAATATCGGCCCCATCGATTAAGAAGTATCTATGTGGACTGAAAGCGTGGCACACTTTCCACAGCGAAGATTACCCAGAAATAAGCGACAAAAGAATCGAGTTACTCATAAAGGCATCATCAAGAATAGATGCTACTCTCCCAAAGAAACCGAAGAAGCCACCTATCTTACTCAAACACCTGATTTGGTTGGCGAACACGTTATTCCCCGGTGGCGATATAGACAAGACGATTATGGACCTGGCGATCGTTTCGTTTTGGGGTATGGCGCGTATTGGAGAATTTACTTACGACAAAACTTTTGGGGACTTAAATGCGGAGAATGCGGTTTTAACCTCAGACGTGAGATTGGTCAAATCGGCGATAGGCGAGAAAGCCATTATTACGGTCAGAAATGCGAAGACAGCGCAACCCGGTGCACCTCAAATAATCGTAGTACATAGTTTAAAAAACATGCTTTGCCTGTACTGGCATTGAAACAAAGACTAGACGAAGCGAATGGCGAAAACACGTCGCTGTTCGGTTTCTACAGAGAAGGCACTAGGCGACATTTGACACGATCCATAGCTGTAAACCGGATCCAATTGGTGCTACGAGCAGGTGGTTTCGAAGGCCTTCTAGGACACTCATTTCGGGTTGGCGGCGCCTCGTTAAGATACGCTTTAGGCACTCCCATAGAAGAAATTTGTCTTTTAGGCCGGTGGATCTCAAATTGCTATCGCTTATACATCCGAGAATACACGGCAGAAGATACTGAAGACAGCAAGAAAATTATCGCAGAATTGAATGACTTGTGGGAAGAGGATTGATTTTTGTGTGAAATATCTGAATAAAATCGGAGAAATAGGTTTTTGTCACTAGGCTCAGGCTCCTATTTTAGTCGAGAAATTTTACACCTGAGTAGATGGCTTCTTGTTCCTAAACCTATTTCATTTTCCTGTTTTGAAGATTGAAAGAAAGAAAATAAAAATATATTTTCTTATTAAAAACACATTAATCATTTCCCATGGTCCCTAGTAGATCTGATTCCATACGAGAATCCAGATTTAGTTACCATCCCGCACTCCGGACAGCTGGAGGAATTTATTCCACTGCTGCCCTAGGAGATGTGCTACGGCGCATCTCCGACAAGAGTACCATAGGAATGATGAGCGCTAAATGGATGGGAACTGCTGTACACAGCTGGCCTAAGGTTTTGGTTTCGGGAGGAGTGAGCAGAGAATGATGGCTGAGATCACCTCGAAAAGAGTCTGTGAACGTAAATATGTATTTATGCTTGTAGTTGTACATACATATAAGTCTTACACACGCAGGGCACTTCACAAAAATCAGTGCATCCCAGGGATGCCATTGCACCTGAGATGTCTCTGGGACGGGATGCTGTCCCCAGGACATCACACTTAACAAAAATTGGCACGGCCCAGGGATGCCATTGTACCAGAGACGTCCCTGGGCCGGAATGACGTCCATAGGACATCATTGTCCATGCCTGGCATCCCTGTCACATCCCACTTGAAAAATTCAGTGCAGCCCAGGGATGTCATTGTCCCTGAGCTGTCCCAAGGTGATCACTGCCCCCCCTGGTGTCTGTCTCACGTCCCACACTGACTCAACAGTCACTTAGCCATTCCCATGAGGAGGCCACAGCATCTGAGTCTCCCCATGAGATTATGTTGTGTTCCAGAAGCCTGACCCGCTTCAACACTTGACAGGGGGACAACAGTCATCCCCATAAGGGCCCAAAAATTAGAGCAATTGAGCAAAGTATAACTGCTTGTACAACTTTAGACAAATTGAACCGGAATACAATAAGGGCTCCACCACAGGATTGAAATTACAAAATTATAATTTTTTTTGGTATCCTACAAAAATTTATGAAACAAGGGTTTTCATGAGAATTTGAGGAAGATAAAACCTGGAAAACTTTGACCAATTTAATGTGCAATTTTCTAGTTGATTTACAGACCAAGGACTAGTGAGGTGAAGGCCATCAAGCCGGCCAAGAGGAGGAGTAAGGACTTCCTGCCCAGATTTTTGAACAAGAAGTTTTCTGGAAAGGTCATCATCAAGTTGATTGCAGTGATGAAGAGTGAGATGTATATTTCTTGGGTGGGCAGCACAGACTTCATGATTGAGGTTTGACTGTTGGTTGGGATCTTTAATCTCAAGCCAGCCAACATGAGGGGAGTCAAGACTTTTGCCAAGATCCTGGAGGTCAGTGATGTTTTTTGCTCTTGGAGACATTGAGTGTCCAATTGACCGGTATCAAGATTCAGGATGAGTTCTGAGTTGTTTATCTTGATTTTCAAATCTTCAAGTCTTGAGTTTCATTCTTGAGGGCAATCTTCTGATGAAATCTTGAGTGGGGAGCTTCTAATGATGAAATTTTTCATAATTTAGTATATTCTAGGTGAATTTTCTAATCATATCTTTCTATTTTAATAATTAAAATCTGTTCTATGTAGCCCTCTGACTAATAAACTGTATCCGGTGAGAGATATGCCTCCCCCGACCTCCTTGGTTGTGCTGCGGATTTGCTTTCGGACTGATTCCCCGTCCCTCCGAGTATCCTCCCCGTCCTCAATCTTCTTCTTCTCAGACTGGCCTCATATTCAAAAAACGTTTCAACACCAACCATCAAAAACCCAAAAACGATGTTCAGTCAAATAGCAAACCAACGTAAACCAAACTAAAATACAGACACACACCCATAATGAAATCCTCTTATCTATTCAAATCATTCCCCAGCCACGAAAGGTCACTCATTGGTATACTCTATCCACAAGACTCTTATCATCTTCATCTACTCGTCATTCAAGACCTTCACGGATCATCGGAACTCATCCACACTCCGAATCCGCTATCAATTTGCTCCGTAAACTCATCTAATTTTGTTGGGATCCCGTGACCAAACTGCTCGATCTCGCTGTCAGTCTCATATACTTTTTTTTATTCCTCAAATCACTCGTGATTTTTCTTTTTTTGTTGATTTCTTCCTCTCTTAGAATCTCTACACCACAGACTTCGGTCGACTGGGTGCCGACGTAAGAAATTTCATCGGCCCGACCCTCCCGACCCCACCAAAAAACTTTGGTGGCCGACCCGATGTTTCATAGCGGGATGTATTGGAAGCCGCTGTCGGCATTCCTTCCGATGCAAGGCCGCTGTTGGAGCCTGTCGTCGGCGTAACTTCCAACAGCGGGCCTACACAATGGCAGCTGTCGGCGTAACTTCTGACAGCGGGCCTACACAATGGCAGCTGTCGGCGTAACTTCCGACAGCGGGCCTACGTTGCAGGGAGTTGTGTTGTGCCGCCGGAAGAGTTGTTTCGTTGGCCTACCGGTGAGCATTTGACCTGGCCAACATCGGTAGTTTGACGTTGGCTTGACCCCAACGTCATACAGCTCGCAAGGAGCAAAAAAAAAAGCATCCGGCGGGTTTTTCATTGCAGAAAAACCGGCTGGACAAAAAGATGAATGGGGCTCATACAATCCAACAGGTTTTCTTTTTCAGGAAAACCCGCGGAGAGTTTGAATTGAGCAAAGGATCGCACCGGTTTTCTTTTTCAGGAAAACCGGCAGAAACATGTACACAGGTGAGGATAATAGGAATGGCCGCAGGACCATTATGACAACCAGTGAGAGGAGGAAAGAAGAAAACCACGTCTTGATGTTATTTGAGGGGTACCGGATTGATCTTGGGAGAACGAAAACAAAAAACCTCATGCTACTCGGTTTCTGTTGCTGAGTGCCGCCGCCGCCGTCGCTTGTGCCTGTCGAACATCGTCAAGGGTAGGGACAGTGAAGTCCTCCTTGGGAATATCTTTGTAATGCTTCAGGTGAGAGAAAAGATCGTTATCTTTGTCCAAGACAAGCTGTGCATGACTGGGAAGGGAAGACAAGTTAGCAAACAGGAATAGATGGGGTCAAAAGGTCAATTGGCTGACCATTTTTGGAATTCAATCAAAGAACCCCTCAAAACACCCAATCGTTCATCGATTTCCAACCATTGGGAGGTTTTCTTTGACTTGTGGACATAATAATGCACCATGACAAGTCGCGCGTAGCTCATTCGGATGCGCATCGCCCAGTTAGTATCGACCTGGTGCTGTATTTCAGCTGCTGTCATCTTTTCCGTACGAGGTGGGAGGTCTTGATAGATCTAAACAAGAGAGAAGAGAGACAACTGAGCATGAGAATGCAAAAGGGAAAACAGGATGACTGAGAGAATCCTCACAGCTGTGATCATCTCGTGGCGGTTGGGGACACTTCCCTTGATCGAAATCCTTTGGGTCTCGAGGATGTTTCCCAACAGCTTTCAGAAAGAGAGAAACGAGCCTGATGAGTTGAGTTCTGCTTAGGACTTGAGTGAAAGTCAAAAATGCTTACCAAGGTACGCAAGTTGCAGCGTTGGTGTTTCAAGAGTTCACCCACGGGGGCCACGGATAGGCCTCAAGAGCTGGTGCATCTTCGCGAGTTGGCCCAGGGGCAAGGTGGTCTTCTTTCCACTCATCAGGTTGTTGATCAATCGCATCCTGTGATCACAAGAAAAAATGTGTTGGAATCAGGAATCGAACAAAACAAAACAATCTGCAAACAAGAAAGCTTACAAGTGTGAGGTAGTAGAGTGTTTTGGGGAGGGCCCCATTCCTGTGAGGATTGTTTGAGTAAGCTTCGAGGGTCGGTTTCAACACACGATCATGCGAGCACTTGTTCGCACAAAATCCTAGCCAGAGTAAATGGTCAGCAACTTGGAAGAATAAATCAAGATGAAAGGGTATGTGACTTACCCGGAATCTGTCATCATACACATGGGCAGCCGCTGGGGAAGGGCTAAACTTGAGTTGGGAAAAGGCAGCTGTGGCGAAGATCATGTTTGCGTGTCTTTCTTCAGGGGGGCACTAGAGAAGGAGTGTGGAAGGGGATGAGAGATTTGAGGATTGATAACATGTACATGATGAAAAACTAACGGACAGAAACAATGGAAGATGTTTGTTACCTTGCTGGTCAAAAGAGCAATGTTCAAGTGCTCGGAATCAAGTTTCAACTTCGATTGAAGTTGGGAACAAACTTGATCAACAGTGAGATCAGAACTGATCAATGCGGCAGGTCGGTCGTTCATGAGGACATCATCATCATCATTGTCATCATTGTTTGATGGGTCACCAAGAATGATGGCATGATCAGTGACTTGGAGCTGAGTGGAGGGGGGAGTGCAACGAGTTGGATGAGGGTCAGGGAATGGTGGTAACAAATCTCGAACTCCCTCAAATTGAGTGGAGGGATCCTCGAGGTCACCAGAGAGAAAGTCGTTTGAAATCACCATGATGGGTGATCAGGTTTGACTGAAAGGGTGGGTGGTGAGAAACAACAGGAGGTGGAAGATGTTCGGAGAGTTTTGGGGAGAAGGAGGATCAGTTATATACTTTTTGGTTGGGTTGAGGAAGTCATGCCGATCTGAAGGTGATGTTTTTGGTTGGACAGCCACCGATCTGAAATTCAATGTTTTTTTTTGTCGGACAACTGACAGTCAGTTGAAGAAAACAGGGTCGGCTGTTTGTTTTGCAGTCAATCTGAGTGCTGATCAAGAAATTCATGATGAGAATGAGGTGAGGTGGGTTTCCGGTGTGAAAAAAAAAATAAAAGGGAAACGGTCAAATAAGACAGACTGCCGGAGCCATCACCGCTTGCCAGGAATCGAACTGGTCTGATTTGAATTCAAATTCAAGTTAAGATAAACACAGAAAATTGTAAAAAATCGAAAGTCAGACTAAAAAAGACTGGACAATCAAGGATTCAAGATGGACTTCAACATGAGATGTGAGCCATCTAAAAAAAGTTGAAATAACAAAAGACTTACTTATTTGATTTTTTTTGCGAAGACTTTTTTGAAAAGAGAAGTATAAAAGGAAATACGTACGCTTGTTGGCTTTGTAAGGGAAGGACCATGACAAACCGTAAACGACATTGTATGAACAAGCGACATCAAAGCCTTGTGCAAGAGCACAAGGAACGTCAAATGGAACGGGATTCTCGGAGGGCGGCGGCTTTGGTTTTGAATCAGGAGGCAATGGATATCGATCAGACCACTGATGTTGCACCTGACAGGAACGAACATGAAAAACTGACTGAAGATACTCACAGGGATGTTGAGACCCAAACGTTTGAAGATCCCGAGGAAGTCCCGCTGAGTCAATTCGAGGAGGAAGATTCAGATGATGAGGAAGGAGAGCTGCAATGGACTGATATGATCGAAATCGCAGTTGGCCAAATTAACTCTGAGCCAGAAGAAGCTGCTCTTGCTGCAACGGATCCGCTCTTTCGTCGTGAGGAAGCCGAGATTGCAAAAATTCGGCCGGATAACTCTGCGTGGTATCCTTTTCTCAATAAAGAGGTGAGGAAAACATTTCTTACAAGTAAAAAGGTGGAAAAGAAAAACAAATAGAAACGGAAAAACTTACAGCAAGGATTTTTATAATATTTTAGTACCTTGTTGGCTCGTTGCTGATTGGATATCTCCATAAACTCATATCTCGAGACATGTACCATCAAATCCGCATTGTCTTCACCTTGTACCACATTCGGATTCCTCGCTGGGAGGCGGTTCGACTCCAGCGCGCAAAGATTCGTTCGTTGGTTAATCACACTATAATCGAAAAAGAAACGGTTTTTGGTCAGCCAGTGTTTGGATTGGATGCTAGGGAATTAATCAAGGATGTTGGTACTTACTTACCTATAGAAGCTATTTTTGGGCCCGGTGAATTTCTAAGCTGAGATTTGAATTCGGTTTGTTTCATGTACAATGTAAATATGTAGGATTTAATGAATCCTCTTGTGGCACCACATCTTGAGTTTGTGCCAGAGGAGGCGCACGGATACAATATCTTCAAACTTTCCCAATCTTCCAAGTGGCTCAAGGACTTCAAATCAGACCTTCGAGTTCAGATGGTCGAATCAAACACAAAACATTTCTATTTATTTGAACCTGTACAATTAGAAAGCTACGAAATTGTAATCCCCATCTTCTTCTACACTGAAAATGGTGCACTCTTCACAAAATGCTATAAACCAACTATCAAAACAAATCCAGACCATTCTGCCGTTGAAATTCACCTTGCCACCAATCCCACCGAAATTCCTTATGATGATATTACTCTTCAAACACTCTCTGTCAAAAAATTATCTGTCATTTATCAGGACATCAAGTTAAAGAATGGTCTGAAATTGTCTGAGTGCTGCGGAAACAATCTTATCAGTAAGAATTTAAATTTGCAACTTCATTCAAAAACCTTTTACTGAAGTTTGATTTCTCTCAATCAGTTGAAAACAGTTCTGAAATCAGCTTGCCAAATCCGTGGCGTAAAAAATCTGCGGGAAAAATCTTAAGAAATGTTCCCATCACTTTATACTGTGATGACACGTCTGGAAACAAATCTAAAAAATGGAATAAACACATCTCTTATTACTTCACACTTTCTGGATTGCCGCCCAAAATCTCCAATCAGCAATTCAACTGTCATTTTCTATGCACATCCAATATTGTGGGCGCTTTGGAACTTGGAGAAATGGTTGTTGAGCAGTTAAAGTATAATTTGATTTTGTTTTGAATCCTCATGGTTCCATTTATTTTGATAAGTTTTTTTCTGATTTTTTTTTTTTGCTTCTTTGCTTTTTTAAATTCAGTGACATGGCCATAAATGGCTTTGAAGCTTATGATTGCACAATTGATGAAGAAGTCCATGTTATGACCAGCTTGATGTGTTTCACTGCAGATTCCCCAATGCACGCCGAAATCACCAACACCCATGTTCCAGGAAATTCTCTTAACTCTTGTCGCTATTGTACCTTGAGTTCCCCAACTTTGGCCGACAGAAAGAAGATACCTTATGTGGGAAAATTTGTGCAGAAGAACTCACATGGATCAAATGTATGTTTATTTTTATTATTATTTTAATCAAATGGGTTCTCACTTTTTTTTTTTACAAACAGTGCCCAAATAATATGAGAACCATGGAGCAGACTATTGAAAACTCCAAGAAACTCTGGACGTTTGCAAAAAACCGTTAACAAACCTGGAAAGTTGAATACTGAATCCGCCAAGCTAGCTGTTCGAGATCAAATGAATTTAAAATTTTGCAAACAGTTATTTGATTTGAATCAAAAAAATTGCAAC